CGCTCCTGCGAGAACACCGGCGCGTTGTCGTTCACGTCCAGCACCCGCAGCGCCAGCACCCTGCTGCTCTGCAGCGCCGGCCACCCGCCGTCGGACGCCCGCACCGTCACGTTGTACTCCGACTGCTGCTCCCGGTCCAGCTCTCTCGCTGTCACCACGCGGTAGTAGCTGCCCTGCGAGTTCTCCAGGCGGAAAGGGGCACCCTCATCGAGGGAGCAGCGCACCTCTCCGTTCGCCCCCGAGTCTCGGTCCTGCACGTGCAGGAGGGCTACCACCGTCCCCGACGGGGAGTCCTCTGAGATCTCGCGCACCGCTGATGATACTGTCAGTTCGGGTACGTTGTCGTTAACATCTGTCACGGTGATCACGACCTTTATTGTGTCGGAAAGGTCCCCGCCGTCACGTGCCTGAACCTCCAGTTCATGGGAGGATATTTCCTCAAAGTCCAAAGCGTCTTTAACGGTTACTTCTCCCGATTCAAAGTCTAGGTGAAAAAGTTCTGACTCTCTGTCCGAAATTTTATGAAAACTATATTTGACATGCCCGTTCAGACCCTCGTCGGGGTCAGTGGCCGTGACAGTGACGAGGGTGGAGCCCACGGGCACATCCTCCGCCACACGCACCGTGTACTCCGCCTGGCTGAACACGGGCGCGTTGTCGTTCGCGTCCACCACCGTCACGCGGATCCGCGCCGTGCCCGTCCGGGCCGGATCGCCGCCGTCGATCGCCCTCAGCACCAGCTCGTGGAACGCCGCCTCCTCCCGGTCCAGCGCCTTCGCCAGCACCAGCTCGGGACGCTGATCCCCGCCGGGGCCCGTCTGCACGGCCAGCGAGAAGTGCTCGTCGCCGCTCAGCTCGTAGCTCTGCAGGGAATTCCGTCCCGAGTCTGGATCGTGAGCCCTGGGAAGTGGAAATCGGGATCCCGGGGCTGTCATCTCGCTTATTCTTTGTTCCAGCTCATTATCCTTGAAGCTGGGGGCGTTGTCATTAATGTCTGTGATTTCTACTTCCATTTCGTAAACCTTCATTTCCTCCTCCACTATCAGCTCACAGCGCAGCACGCATTTCTCCACCAGCCGGCACAGCTGCTCTCTGTCGATCCTCTCGGCCGTCACTAAATGTCCCGTCTTCCCGTGCAGAGCAAAATACTGCGTCCTACCTCTGTCTGTGATGCGGACACCACGGTCTTGGAGCGCAGGCAGCTGCAGCCCCAGGTCCTTGGCCACGTCGCCCACGAACGAGCCCTTGGGCATCTCCTCGGGCACCGAGTAGCGCAGCTGCCCCCACGCCGCCTCCCAGGCCGCCAGCAGGACACCCCAGAGCAGCACTCGCTGTCGCCGGCCCCAGCGCCTCCCCGCCCAGCACATCGCCGCCGCCGCCGCACCGCCGGCACCGCAACACCGCGGGCTGATCTCCGCCGCCGCCCACCGATCAGGCTCCCGCTGCTTTTATGGCTCGCTTCTTACCGCTCCTCTGTCTCGCTTTACCACGGTTCCGCACGGCGGGGACTATCAGAGACCGCCTGGCCGCCGATCCAGGAATGCAGCGATCCAGCGATCGAGCCGGTCCGCAGCGGGCGGGGCTGCAGCGCTCCGACCTTCCTCTCGCTCCTCTCGGTCAACAGCGGCGCCCGCAGCCTCCTCCCGGCACTGCAGGCACCGAGCGCCGCTCGCACTGCCTTGTCCACGGGCAGCTCGCAGGGAGAGCACCGATTTCGCATCCACGTAGCCGGGCTTTCCTGCCTTTTCTCCAGCCTATCTCTTCTTTGATCCCCAGGAAGATCAGTACTGGTGTTAAGGCAGAGTACCCCCTCGTGCTTAGTATTTCTACTGCACGAGGAAAAGTATTTGCTAATGGTAATCTCAATGTAAACTAAATTATTTTTCTTATTATTTAGCGTATATTTTTTTTCCTTATTTAACCGGTACAAGGATAACAAAGGAAAACAAGCTCTGTGATAGGAAATATGCTAACGAGACACACATATCCCGCATCCGGGAGGATAAGAGATATCAGGCTCATTAACCCAACCAGCTGGAACTTGACTTTAATTACTTCAATGCATACGAATTAGAGTCTAAATTAACTATACCACTATCATTGACTGAGGTTAGACGTTTAAAGTCAGGCAAAGGCAGGATCAATCCGCTGGCATCCTACAAGCTGCAGGGAATTTGCCTTTGCGAGCACAGGAAGAACAGGTTCTACATCTCCTGAGCCCCTGCTGTGACTCACGGGTGAGCCATAGATGAGAGGATTCACTGCAGCCATAAATCAGCTTTCCTTTGCCGCCAGTTTTTCTGAAATGTGCGTTTTCTGATACTCGTCTCTTCTCAACAGTATTTCTTAATGGGGAAAATCAGAGTAATATATAAACACACCCTAAACTATGCGGATCTTTTATAGAAATGTAAATAGATTTTTTCGAGTGCCTTATCGCTGTCATGATACGTACTCCCTTCCCGTTTAAATTGACATGACAATTTCTTTCCTAACGTGGCATTGAGACCGAAATCCTCCGTATTGTATTCCATGACCAACGCGGTCTACCAGGCACACTGACCTCTCCTTGAGATAAACAATGGGCCAGGAACAGTAAAATAGGGGGGATCTACCGCCCAGTATGAAAGAAAACCAACAAGCAAACAAACAAACTCCAAACCAGCAGAAACAAAAAACACACACAAACCCCGCTCCACAACCTGCATTTGTCCCTCGTTCCTAACGCATTTTCAATAACTCAAGTGATGACGACAAAACCTCTCAACTGAGCTTGAGTCTGTTGATTCCCAAAGAACGTAGAAGTGCTGCCATTCGCTGATTGCGGTATGTTGATTAGGAATATCTCGTTCCCTAATGCATTTCTTAGCAGATTCACCGACCAGTGTTTCTGTAATTTATAAAAAGTTATATTTAATCATCCCCTCCCTGGAAAGGGTTCCGATTTTCTCCTAAATCAAGGTGTAAGGAATTGAAGCCTGTTATTATTGTTCTAATTGATGCATTTTCATGTGGTTATGACACATTTTACCTGTCGTTTGGCATGTCTCTTAATATTTGATGTGCATGTTGTTCCTCAGCAGTCTATCCTTTTAAACACACGGATGTAACAATTATTGCAAAAAATTGCTGAGAGAACTAGGTCTCTAGGAACCAATTATACAGCTTTACCTCTGTATAAAAGACAGAGAAAAAAGGTCAAAAAAATGAGGGAATTACTCTTCAGAGTGGAAAAAAAAAATAATGTGTCCCACTACTGCCAACATTTCTGCCATTTCTGCAGTGACGTTCCCGAGAAAATGACACTCCCTATGATTCGAGGTGGAGGCATGTCTCTTGTCCATTCATGGTTCCACAGGCTTTTGGCATTCCAATAAAGAAAAAAAGGTGTTACCTCTTGTTACTATGAGAAGATAGAGTGACCACCATTCTTTCATTCCATCAATGAGACAGAGACCAGCACTCCCCATCAACCACACTGTGAGAAAATTAGATGAACACACAATAAGGGTTAGGAAGAGTAAAAAGAGATCAACGGGAGGGCACAGACTTAAATACCTGCGGTACGACAGGGTCAGCGGGCGGCTCTCCCGCGACGGCGCTGCTGCTCGGGCTCGGCTTGTCGCAGGGCTCCCCGGCCAGAAGCTCCTCGGCGGGCAGGATGGGCAGCGGCGGCGGCGGCCAAGCAGCCTCGGCGGCAGCGCGGGCCGGCGCGGCCACGCACAGGTTGTAGGAGTAGGGCAAGGTGCCCTCGCAGAAGTCGGGCGGGAAGGCGGCGCCGGCCAGCGAGAAGCGCTGCGCGCCCAGGCAGCGCAGCACGGCGGGCGGCCCGGCCCGGCGCAGCCGCGCCAGCACGGCCAGCGCCACGCTGAGCACGAAGAGCGCCGAC